CGTCTGCAAACGGAACACGCTGTATTTGCGAACCATAATAGAGAGACAGACAGAGCCTGATTGTAATGTTTCCACACGAAACTAGTAATTACTTAAACAACCGTAAAGCGGAACTAGATGTATAGATGTTATGACCAGAGTCATTACCAGAGTCATCCGAGACGGTCGCATAATGGGGGTCCGTGAGGGGTCGGACGGACTGATTCTGTCGACCGATCGACGTCTTTGTTTGCGCGATTATATTGGCCAGAGGCTCTCTTACGCTTATACTAGTGTACCCTTCTGTGGAGTGTAAGATCTTGGTATTAGAGATCAATTCGTTCGAAAGCACTTTGCATAAATTAAGTATCGCGCAAGTAAAATTGTAGAAATGAACGCAAACACTGCCTTCTAAAATACTTACTCGAGTCTTGGGAGTCGCCGCTAAAGTGTTGTTGAGGGCTATTGGATTGAGGTTGGGGCGGCTGGGGCAATAGCATCAAAAGCGGGGGCGTTATATACGGTAATTCCTGATTAGCTTGTATTCCGCCCGATATAGCATTGGCTGCTTGAATATCGCACGGAGCAATGTCGGTGGAGAGAAGGGAATTGTGGGAGGACGATCGACGAGTTCTTGGTGGAGCAACCGGATTTCCGGCAGCTGGACTCGTCGAGGTAGATGGTTTCTCGGTATCAGTCACTGGTTTAATATTATTTCTGCAACGTTAGTGTGATATACTGATAACAAAACTGATTATTATTAGATAATACTTGCAAGTTTTCAACTATTACCTATTCAACTGACTAGCCTCGGCCTTTTGAACGTTTTGAAGTTGAGCGTACGGATGTTCGACTAGGATGAGAAGAATAAGTGTTGAACGATAGAGAGAAAAAAAGAAAAATAATTCGGATTATAGAGGTTTAACGGAAGAACATCTATTAAAAAGTAACGACACTTGACAATGGAATTTCTTATCCGTACCATTATCAGAGTTGGGGGACAGAAATCTTGAATACGGATGAACAGAGGTTTCTCGAGTCGAAGCATTTTGTTGCGAAACTTGTTGCATTTCCTGTTCCGATACCTCTTCTTCCACACCTACGTTAAACGTAACGCTATTATTAGATCAGATTCGTCCTTGTTTCGAACAACTGCTCGAATGTGGAAAATTCGAAAAAAGGATCAAGACGTATTTGTGGGTTGCACCCGATTTCGCTTCAACACACCTGTGTCCTGTACCGTAGCATAGAGTTCCGATTGGTCGCCGATCGCTTCCGTAGCTTCGTAAATATCTTGAGATACTGATTCACCCGGGTCTTCGAGTCTCTTGTCTTTGTCTTTTGGGATATCCGGGAGACTTCTATTCGCGCCAGTTGTCCTATGTGCATCGCGTTAAAATATTTCAGTTTTAAGACAGAAGATTTCACACGTAACATGATTATTGTTGTTGTTTGTATCGTGTTGTAATTGCGATCGTGTTTGAAAGTATGTTAGGAAAAAGAGTTGCGCATTGCCCGATCGCTTAGGCGATAGAAACCTTTTTGCATTGTCGATAGCATCTTGCGCCGCTATACGAGAAATATTTGTGGTCGGGATCCCGTCAAAGCCCTCATTTTCGGTATTGTTCAGCGTTACCATACCGGCGAGCCCAAGAAATTCATTCCTGTTCGAAGGGAATCACAACTGAACGTATCCGCGTAAACGATATTATATACACAGTACAGTGAAATCTCCATATCCGTATTCTTTATTCGAAATTTTTCTTATATAAATGCTTAATACATGCATACTATTATCGATTGGTTTTTAATATAATTCAAACAGTCTTTTAGTAGGTATTATAGTATAGTGTACACGCAAATTCTTCCGTTTATTACCCTCGTAGTAAAAAAATATATCCATTAGCTTATCAAGAATGTAGACAAAGAACAAAAAAATTACACAAATTTCAATACGTACGGTAAAATCGGTTTAAAGAGCATCGAGATATGTTGATGGTTATAATTACTTGTTCTCGTTTCGACGACAGCTGCAGATACAAGCAAAGATGAAACCAAGAAAGGACAATAAAGCTCCGACGGATACAACCCAGTAACACCAGGCATCTTCCTCGAGAAAAGGACGTATCATGTTACGAAATGTGTTTTGTATGTATCCTACAAAATATTTATATTAAAATATTGTGATTTAAGGTGTCTTTGCGAGAAGCACGAGACAATAAAAGTTACCTAGCGATCAAGTCATTCTTAAGAAGATTTTATATATATTCAGTCTTTCATATTTTAGCAAAGTACTCGCTCTGTTGTACCTCGGTGCGTAAAAAATAATTTCTGCAAAAGTAATATGTATCCGGGGTTGTAAAGAGACAAAGCAACTAAAACGATTTATAGCTTTATTCCCTGATATCGTGCGCAAAACATTCTTGTAACACTTTTCCTTTTTTGCTCTCTCCCTCTCTTGTGCAGATTCTCTGCTCTTGTATTACATTTTGAACAAATAAATTGCCAAATATGTTTCTTTGGAAATTTACAAGACCGATGCATAACATTTAACACAGCATAGTTGTTTGATATCGATCCACTGATTTCGAGCAATGGTAAACATTTTGCATGTACCTTCGTTGTTTGTATTTTATCTCTTGATGATTATCAAACAGTATACAAATTGAATCTTGACGAATCTTGACAAAGAATTCACGGAAACGTTTCGTGAAATAAAAGCATCGGTTTCGAAAGTGCACACAAAACTAGCATCGAACGATTTTTATATTGTTTAATATAATGGGCTGTGTAATTATGATTCGGCTGAAACAAGACGAGAAAAAGACAAAATACTTTTTTTTTTCAATGCGAATATACGTACGTACCTAAGTATCATAATACCGATACATTGTGCATATATACGTATGACATATCACGATCACGAAATAAGGTTATCTATGCATACCTTGTGCATCAAGTGTACAGATACATATATAAATTGTGCCTACTTCTCGCGGATGCACGTCAGTGTGATACACACTATGTGATTGTGCATAAACACGCCTTGAAAATCTTGAAATTCTCAACTGCTATATTTTGATAATCGATAGAGGATTACGAGCACGAAACGAAAGTTGTTAATTGTACTGCGATAAAGCGATTCGAAAGAATTGCACTAGTTTAAGAAAAAATGTACATTTAACGAGGCAAAAGGGATAAATATAACAACGATGCTGGAATTGATGGGGCATTAAGTGGGATCGTTCAGGTTATGGACCGCCAAGTACTATAGCCATCTAGCAGGCAAGCATATAAACCAGAAGAACTTTTAAAGATGCATAGATGTACATATAGATTATTCATAAATAAACATAACGTTTTCCTAAATTCATAAATATTTATTGTTGTTTATTCATGAAAACCAGATACTAAATACTTGAAAGAAATAACATGAACCAGTGATGCCAGAAAAGCACCGTCGGGTGCACACTCCCACATGCCAGATACACGTACGTGAGCTCGTAGAGTTTCGGAAAGACGACAAAGGCAAACTGACGCATGCCCTCTTTCTCGATTCTCCGAAACTGCCCGAAGTAATTTCGGACCGCTTCGTGGAAGTCTAGAGAGAAAGGCTCACATTTGCCTTCTCGCTCCCACACAACTGAAATCCGACCTCCCGTCAACGGCATACGATTTGGATTCTCGACTGCCCAGGCATTTTTACTTCGCGACCTATGTAGGCGCACATAAGCAAATTACCCATAATGAAAAAAAAATTTTGTAAAATTTATTTTACGGAAATACACGTTTTAAGACCTCCTGATCATATTTTAATTATTGAAAAAAAAGAAATGTTTTTTTATTCCCATGTATGAGCACACATATGTATGTATATTATTAATACGATTTTTGAAAATAAATAAAGTAAAACTTATCTCATTGAAATTTTTTCTAGAAGTAGTACCTAGAAAAAAGTATTAGACAACATTTGATTTTGATTTACACATTCTGCATCGACGGCGACACTAGTAACGACGAACTTCCTTAGCTTTTAACAGAGTGGTGGGGAAAGCCGACATATCCTACCGCACGAGCCACATGTTACGCCAGGTCAGCACTTGATGCAACTTCGGGAAATCGGTAAAGAACGTGAACAGGAGCCGTTCCTTCTTGTTCTTGAACAGCTGAATGAAGTCCGTCCTCGCGTCTCAATGGCATACAATTTCGAATCTCGACTGCCCCGACATTTTCACGTTTCAAGTTATATGGGCACAAATATATGTATAACCAAAGTCCATATTGAATGAAAAATTGACACGTAAATACACGTTTCAAGACCCCCTGATCATGTTTGACATAAAACAATACTTTGGAAATAAATCGTTTGAATATAGTTTATCAAGTAAGACCTTCGAAATTATTTTCAAACGATTTATTTCCTAATTGTTCTATTATTTCAAATAATAATTTTTTGATTTTATAGCAAAGAATGTTTATTTAATATCAATTCAATAAATTCAATTTGTATTTGTATATTTTTCGCCTATACAGGCAAATATACCATGTTCAGTTTTATTGCATAAGTTGTTCCATAACAGAGATGTAAAAAGTCTCCGAGTTGTTAAATATAAAAGTTGTTCAGTTTAGTGGTTCCCACAAATGAGATTTTCTTGGTCTTTAAAAAGACCGGTTTGTCGCGTTGGCCGCTGCTCGTGAAACATCTTCTTGATCTTCGATTTTGATCGAATGTAAATCTTCAATTAAATTCTTCATCTCGATACGGTCCGTCTTGCTTGGTGGTTGAATACGAAGAATACTCGAAAAGTTGTTCCTTAACGTCGTAAAGTGACAAAATGCTCAGAAAAATTGTCAATTTTCAAACGATCATAACTTTTACAATAGTAAAACTTATATCATTGAAATTTTTTCTAGAAGTAGTACCTAGAAAAAAGTATTAGACAACATTTGATTTTGATTTCGATTAAAACTGAAATTTATATTGTTTTAAATTCGCAGCCATTAGCTCGGTGTTACCCATAATGAAGAAGTTCTTCTTGAAAGGTAACACCGATTACCAGGTCTCACCACGAGGAGGTTGCTGCGATTGGAGACCCAAAGTGAGATCGATGGAACAAAGTTCGATCGACCTTCCTTTTTACACACTTAGAAACTAGATTACGCAAAAAAAAAGATGCCAAGTAATTACTTTTCTAAAACAAAGGATGAAGCGAAATTGTGGGAGACGCGACACGACGAAACGCGACACAATGCTGCACAGTGCAGTAGGAACATGAGGTGCGACACGTACCGAATAGCGGGTCAAAAGGGGCAGCTCGTTACCTCTTAGCAAGTCCAATTGAAGGGGAGGAGAATCGACGCACCAGACACGGGTTCCCCATTTCTCCAACGCGCCCTGCTGGGAGCCCGTAGGACCCAACCCGGGACGTCTTACACAGGAGAGAGATCCTGAGTCGGGGCTACCGCAGACAGGAACAGGTCCCCTCTACGGCCGATGACTCTTTCCCTAGAATTGTCTCACCAGAGGACGGCAACCGACCCTTCGAACCATCTAAACGGCCGATCACTTGCTTTTTACATCAAAGCAGCGGTGACCGGAGCTAGAAACGGGGAAACGAGACTGGAAAATAAGCTATTAATTAATTCATTACTTGGCAATCTACGCAGTAAATAAAATAATATACAATGTAAATTGAAAATTAACGTCGTAGGTGGAATTGAGAATTAATGTGAATTAATGAAATATAGGAAACATCGGAAAAACAAGGAAAAGAAGGAAAAAGAAAAATTCGACGTTAATTTTTACATTCGCGCTGCGCCTTAAAATTAATCGCTTACGTGTAAATCCCGATGAATCCGACGTCATCTATTGATCTCCTCCTCCTCCTAGAAATTGATCTGGTAAAAAACTGAAATAAAAATTAGTAGTTATGTGTACATGTAGACAAATAATAAAACCTAAATAACAAATTAGTTTGAAATAAGGAATTGGAACAATCCAACGAAGTAAATTAACGAAACGAATCATTCGAAAAAAAAGAAACCAACGATGTGTACTTTGAATTATAGATTAATTTTGAAAATTAAAAAACCAACGAAGCGCAAGACGAATAACAAAATAAATCGTAAAAGAACAAACCAACGATGAAAGCGAGACGAAGATAGAATAGAATAAATTGAAAAATATCAACCCAACGATGTAATTAATATAGATAAAACTAGATGAACGAAGAACCCAAATATGAAAATACCTATATACATAAAAATGCAGAAAAACACAATATTTTCATTAGTTATATTAATATTAATTGTATCTATACCAAAACCAAAGGGTGATCCTTCCTTCCTGGTCAGCATCGCAGAAGATATCTGAAACAGAAAACAAAAACGCGTGACAGTACCCCCGGCGGTTCCAGGAGTACTGAAAAGAGTTGCCCAGCTGTGTCCACTTTTATGCAGTCAAGCCAAAGAATCAACGAGCCAATCAGCAGCCAGTCCGCTGGGGGCGACCATCGTCCGTCCACCTTGAAACGTTATAAGAGCCCCCTGAGGCCCTCGCGCGGGAGTTATCTCCCAACCACCAAGCAAGACGGACCGCATCGAGATGAAGAATTTAATTGAAGATTTACATTCGATCAAAATCGAAGATGGCGGCCAAGAAGATGTTTCACGAGCAACGGGCAAGGGAGAAAACCGGTCTTTTTAAAGACCAAGAAAATCTCATTCGTGGGAACAACTTATGCAATGAACTGAACAACTTTTATATTTAACAACTCAGAGACACTTTACATCTCTGTTTTGTAACAACTTTTATATTTAACAATTCAGAGACACTTTACATCTCTGTTTTGTAACAACTTTTATATTTAACAACTCACAGACACTTTACATCTCTGTTTTGTAACAACTTTTATATTTAACAACTCAGAGACACTTTACATCACTGTTTTGTAACAACTTTTATATTTAACAACTCAGAGACACTTTACATCTCTGTTTTGTTACCGACTTTTATATTTAACAATTCAGCGACACTTTACATCTCTGTTATGGAACAAGTTATGCAATAAAACTGAACATGGTATATTTGCCTATATGTATAGGAAGGAAATTCGTCGTTAGTATTGTCGCCCGTCAATGCACTTAATTATGCAAGATCAGTATACTATCTAATTTTATTTTTATTATACCGGTTTGTAATATCGTAAAGATCAATGCAAAAACATTATGCACAGCTCTTGTATTTCTTTGATTTATCCAAGTAGTCAAAGTATAATATTTAACAAACTTTTGGTTCAAATAAAATAACGAATGACACAAAATTTGAGTACCTGTTACATGTAACCTATGTATAAATGCATAACTAATATTGATATACGCATAACGAACTTAGTTTGTGATATGAAACATTAAGAAAAGTGTAAATTAATAAATAGGTTTCAAAATGGGTATTCCGGGTTTAACAACTTTCATAAACAATCGTTCAGATCGTTATTTGGAATAGTTCGAGCTACGTGATATGTATTTAGTTATTCAGCTGTCAAATATATAATTGGTACAAGTGCAATTGTGTTTTTGTCGGTGATTACGATAAATACGCTCAACGAGTATCGGATTTTTTTGACGATTTGATAAAGTGCAATGCAGTACCATTAGCTTTGATCGATTGTGGTTGCGAGGATAAGAAACTGCAAACAGTTATATCTAGATCTAGAGAAAAGGTTCGTACAGCATCATCTTATTCTCCGATCTGTCAACAGAAAATGAAATTTTTTCCTTTACATATTTAGGAAGTTTTCAAAGATGTTAGGAGAAAGAAGAATATTCGTCATGTGCAATGCTTATTCGAAGCTGATAATGCTATAGCTACCGTAGCAAGGATATTGAATTGTCCTGTATCGAGTTATAATTCAGATTTTTATGTGTTTGGGACATTGCACATACCGTTTGATACATTGGACAATTACACGGTGAAAAGTTCAACTGGAAATGGTTACACGAAACGTTGTAAAATTTATAAAGTTGAACACTTATTAAATTCTTATAGAGGTTTAAGTCAATCTACACTGCCATTAGCTGCAATATTACTAGGCAATGATTATGTAAAACGTGGTACATTTAGAAACCTCTTTCGTTATTTAAAGATACGACGAATAACAAGAAAAAGGTATAGTAATCGACAGTATTGTATAGAAGCAACTTTACAATGGTTGAGCGGATTTTACATCTTGGACAAAGCAGTCATTGGAATACTATGTAGATCACCTAAAACCGTAAGACAAAAAATGGCTATACAAATGCATCTACAGAAATACTTGCTTACTTCCATTGGGGTTTTCACAGGAATATGCAGCTCGTGCCACAACACATTCCATAAACAGAATTTTTTAATTTGATGGAGATGTTAATAGTCTAATGTACATAGAAGAAACTGATAAAAATGGAGACTTTGAATCATCCGAAGAAGAAGAAGAAGAGGAAGAGAACGAAGTTGAAATATTAGACATGCTTAAAGGGGTCAGAATCTGCTACCAATAATGCACTAGCTAATGTACCTAATTTGTTTGTAGATGAATTTCTTATGGGCAATTATCCTGCATATTTTATGGGACTTGTTGGTTCGACGTTTATATATTTGTCCTGTACAAATAGAGGATTATTCCTATCCATTGAGCAATGTAATAAGTTTAAAAATTATTAGAGTTATATATGCATTTCTGCAATCAGGAATGAATAGAAGGAGAGGTTTCATGAAATACATGATGAGAGACTGTAATAAAAAGCTTAAATGTTACGAACCAGAAGGCACTGACACTAAATTTTCTTCCCCATTACTGTCCCTATCTAATCTTAGAGAAGTACCATTAACGAGTCCAGGATTAAAAAATAATGTACAAACATGCGTCATTGATTTTTCATTACCATTTGAATTTAAATTCAAGTTATATAGACACAAATATATAAGCAAAGCCCATATTGAATGAAAAATTGACACGTAAATACACGTTTCAAGACCCTCTGATCATGTTTGACATAAAACAATACTTTGGAAATAAATCGTTTGAATATAGTTTATCAAGTAAGACCTTCGAAATTATTTTCAAACGATTTATTTTCTAATTGTTCTACTATTTCAAATAATAATTTTTTGATCTTATAGCAAAGAACGTTTACTTAATATCAATTCAATAAATTCAATTTGTATTTGTATATTTTTCGCCTATACAGGCAAATATACCATGTTCAGTTTTATTACATAAGTTGTTCCAAAACAGAGATGTAAAAAGTCTCCGAGTTGTTAAATAGAAAACTTGTTCCAAAACAGAGATGTAAAAAGTCTCCGAGTTGTTAAATATAAAAGTTGTTCAGTTTAGTGGTTCCCACAAATGAGATTTTCTTGGTCTTTAAAAAGACCGGTTTTGTCCTTTGGCCGCTGCTCGTGAACCATCATCTTTGGCCATCTTCGATTTTGATTGAATGGAAATCTTCAATTAAATTCTTCATCTCGATACGATCCGTCTTGCTTGGTGGTTGGGAGATAACTCGCCGATCAACGCCTCAGGGGGCTCTTATATACTAGGAGCCCGGACGCTCACGAGAGACCGAGCGACATCTGTGCAATTTCGATACACGAATTATTCACGAATTGTCCCCATACAAAAAGTTAAAGAATCATTATTTAAATAATGGAATACTTATAGGTATATATAAAGCATTTCTACATATTCTCCATCGAAATACGCGTTGTTTGCAATTTGAAACATTAAGATCCTTCAATCCGTTCAAAAGTTCTAAATTTTTAAACATACGCATGAAATTTCAAACGAATATTTCTGCATCTTTAAAATATTATAACTTCTGAACGGATTGAAGGATCTTAATGTTTCAAGTTGCAAACAACGCGAATTTTGATGGAGAATATGTAGAAATTGAATATTGAACATCTCTGTTATGGAACAACTTTTATATTTAACAATTCACAGACACTTTACATCTCTGTTTTGTACCCACTTTTATATTTAACAATTCACAGACACTTTACATCTCTGTTTTGTAACCACTTTTATATTTAACAATTCACAGACACTTTACATCTCGGTTATGGCACAAGTTATGCAGTAAAACTGAACGTGGTATACATATTTGCCTATATGTATAGGAAGGAAATTCGTCGTTAGTATTGTCGCCCGTCACTGCTCTTAATTATGCAAGATTAGTATATTATCTAATTTTATTTTTTATTATACCGGTTTGCAATATCGTAAAGATCAATGCAAAAACATTATGCACGGCACTTGTATTTCTTTGATTTATCCAAGTAGTCAAAGTATAATATTTAACAAACTTTTGATTCAAATAAAACAACGAAAGACACAAAATTTGTGTAAGTACCTGTTACATGCTACCTATGTATAAATGCATAATAACTAATATTGATATGCGCATAACGAATTTAGTTTGTGATATGAAACATTAAGAAAAGTGTAAATTAATAAATAGGTTTCAAAATGGGTATTCCAGGTTTAACAACTTTCATAAACAATCGTTCAGATCGTTATTTGGAATATTTCGAGCTACGTGATACGTATTTAGTTATTTAGCTGTCAAATATATATTTCGTACAAGTGCAATTGTGTTTTTGGCGGTGATTACGATAAATATGCTCAACGAGTATCGGATTTTTTTGACGATTTGATAAAGTGCAATGTAGTACCATTAGTTTTGATTAAATAAAATTAGATAGTATACTGATCTTGCATAATTAAGTGCATTGTCGGGCGACAATACTAACGACGAATTTCCTTCCTATACATATAGGCAAATATGTATACCATGTTCAGTTTTATTGCATAACTTGTGCCATAACAGAGATGTAAAGTGTCTGTGAATTGTTAAATATAAAAGTGGTTACAAAACAGAGATGTAAAGTGTCTGTGAATTGTTAAATATAAAAGTGGTTACAAAACAGAGATGTAAAGTGTCTGTGAATTGTTAAATATAAAAGTTGTTCCATAACAGAGATGTTCAATATTCAATTTCTACATATTCTCCATCAAAATACGCGTTGTTTGCAACTTGAAACATTAAGATCCTTCAATCCGTTCAGAAGTTATAATATTTTAAAGATGCAGAAATATTCGTTTGAAATTTCATGCGTATGTTTAAAAATTTAGAACTTTTGAACGGATTGAAGGATCTTAATGTTTCAAGTTGCAAACAACGCGTATTTCGATGGAGAATATGTAGAAATGCTTTATATATACGTATAAGTATTCCATTATTTAAATAATGATTCTTTAACTTTTTGTATGGGGACAATTCGTGAATAATTCGTGTATCGAAATTGCACAGATGTCGCTCGGTCTCTCGTGAGCGTCCGGGCTCCTAGTATATAAGAGCCCCCTGAGGCGTTGATCGGCGAGTTATCTCCCAACCACCAAGCAAGACGGATCGTATCGAGATGAAGAATTTAATTGAAGATTTCCATTCAATCAAAATCGAAGATGGCCAAAGATGATGGTTCACGAGCAGCGGCCAAAGGACAAAACCGGTCTTTTTAAAGACCAAGAAAATCTCATTTGTGGGAACCACTAAACTGAACAACTTTTATATTTAACAACTCGGAGACTTTTTACATCTCTGTTTTGGAACAACTTTTCTATTTAACAACTCTGAGACTTTTTACATCTCTGTTTTGGAACAACTTATGTAATAAAACTGAACATGGTATATTTGCCTGTATAGGCGAAAAATATACAAATACAAATTGAATTTATTGAATTGATATTAAGTAAACGTTCTTTGCTATAAGATCAAAAAATTATTATTTGAAATAGTAGAACAATTAGAAAATAAATCGTTTGAAAATAATTTCGAAAGTCTTACTCGATAAACTATATTCAAACGATTTATTTCCAAAGTATTGTTTTAAATCAAACATGATCAGAGGGTCTTGAAACGTGTATTTACGTGTCAATTTTTCATTCAATATGGGCTTTGCTTATATATTTGTGTCTATATAACTTGAATTTAAATTCAAATGGTAATGAAAAATCAATGACGCATGTTTGTACATTATTTTTTAATCCTGGACTCGTTAATGGTACTTCTCTAAGATTAGATAGGGACAGTAATGGGGAAGAAAATTTAGTGTCAGTGCCTTCTAGTTCGTAACATTTAAGCTTTTTATTATAATCTCTAATCATGTATTTCATGAAACCTCTCCTTCTATTCATTCCTGATTGCAGAAATGCATATATAACTCTAATAATTTTTAAACTTATTACATTGTTCAATGGATAGGAATAATCCTCTATTTGTACAGGACAAATATATAAACGTCGAACCAACAAGTCCATAAAATATGCAGGATAATTGCCCATAAGAAATTCATCTACAAACAAATTAGGTACATTAGCTAGTGCATTATTGGTAGCAGATTCTGACCCCTTTAAGCATGTCTAATATTTCAACTTCGTTCTCTTCCTCTTCTTCTTCTTCTTCGGATGATTCAAAGTCTCCATTTTTATCAGTTTCTTCTATGTACATTAGACTATTAACATCTCCATCAAATTAAAAAATTCTGTTTATGGAATGTGTTGTGGCACGAGCTGCATATTCCTGTGAAAACCCCAATGGAAGTAAGCAAGTATTTCTGTAGATGCATTTGTATAGCCATTTTTTGTCTTACGGTTTTAGGTGATCTACATAGTATTCCAATGACTGCTTTGTCCAAGATGTAAAATCCGCTCAACCATTGTAAAGTTGCTTCTATACAATACTGTCGATTACTATACCTTTTTCTTGTTATTCGTCGTAACTTTAAATAACGAAAGAAGTTTCTAAATGTACCACGTTTTACATAATCATTGCCTAGTAATATTGCAGCTAATGGCAGTGTAGATTGACTTAAACCTCTATAAGAATTTAATAAGTGTTCAACTTTATAAATTTTACAACGTTTCGTGTAACCATTTCCAGTTGAACTTTTCACCGTGTAATTGTCCAATGTATCAAACGGTATGTGCAATGTCCCAAACACATAAAAATCTGAATTATAACTCGATACAGGACAATTCAATATCCTTGCTACGGTAGCTATAGCATTATCAGCTTCGAATAAGCATTGCACATGACGAATATTCTTCTTTCTCCTAACATCTTTGAAAACTTCCTAAATATGTAAAGGAAAAAATTTCATTTTCTGTTGACAGATCGGAGAATAAGATGATGCTGTACGAACCTTTTCTCTAGATCTAGATATAACTGTTTGCAGTTTCTTATCCTCGCAACCACAATCGATCAAAGCTAATGGTACTGCATTGCACTTTATCAAATCGTCAAAAAAATCCGATACTCGTTGAGCGTATTTATCGTAATCACCGACAAAAACACAATTGCACTTGTACCAATTATATATTTGACAGCTGAATAACTAAATACATATCACGTAGCTCGAACTATTCCAAATAACGATCTGAACGATTGTTTATGAAAGTTGTTAAACCCGGAATACCCATTTTGAAACCTATTTATTAATTTACACTTTTCTTAATGTTTCATATCACAAACTAAGTTCGTTATGCGTA